ACAATATGATTTCGTTTTCGCATTTCGCATTTCTCAGACAGATTGAGATTTATGTGTGTTTGCCAATAAATCTTTTGAGAGTGTGCGAAACTTTTGGCGCGCTGTGCACCGAGCAGGAAAACAAAAACATTACACAACGCAAAAAAAAAACAGCGGGAACAAAGCAGACGAGAGACGTGTGAGAACAGAGGAACTGCAATCAGTCAAGGGTCAGACTTACATACTTAGCATGACTATAGCCGAACACGACTCGAAACATTTCAACAATGAATATACTCAAAGGATCCACCAAGCGGACGGCCATTCCCCCCATTTTCCACTCAAGGAGTATTCGATTTTCGTTCAAGATTACGACTCCTTTTGCCATTCCCCTCATTTTCCACCGAAATATGTGAAACATTTCCACAATGAATATACTTAAGTGAACGTAATTTGAACCTTGGTCCATTCCAACCCATTTTCCACCCAATAACAATTCGATTTTCGTTCAAGATTTAGACTTTTTGCCTTTCCCTTAATTTTCCACCGAACTGTGTGAAACATTTTTACAACGAATTAAACCTTTGTCCGTTCCCCGCATTTTCCGCCCAAGGAGGAATCGATTTTCGTGGTTTTGCGTGAAAAAGCGTAAAAATCGTCTTGAATGAATTGATGCAAGGATCTGTGAAAATGAGATTACAGCCGAACAAATTTCAACCTTTGTTCCCCTCATTTTCCACCCAATGAAGGAGTGAATTCGCCTAAAGGTATGAAATACGTCTACAATAAATGTTTTCAATTTTTTAAGTTAGCTTTTGTCAATTTCCCCCCCCTTTTTCCACCCAAGAGCGTGGTGGATTTGCGTTTAAAAGCAACTTTAAAGCCTACTGGATAAAAAGTTGGGGAAAAAGTCTCCTAGAATTTTGTTCCAAGCGATTGGGTTAACCGAAAAACCCATCTTATTGGTCTCTCACAGCAGAGAAGGTAACTACTGTGACAAATTCTTCCGGCTGGCTCTTACGCTTTGAGCGTTGATCATCAAACAGTCCGTCCGTCAGTCAGTCCGTCGGTCAGTCTTATATATATATGTATATATATTTGTGTGTGGCAGACATTAATCATAAAAAAAAAACCGGGAGCAGTTAGTGGGTAAGTTTTGCCTGGTTTATCGCCGGCAACTGATCTGCTAATGACGACTAGCGAGTTGCGCTAGTGCAGAAAATCAATTAAATATCCGAAAACCCTAAAATGTTTACATGTTATAATAAAGCCGCCGACCACCGAAGGACCCGAACACCCGCGAGACGGCGCAACCCCTCAGCCCCGGCTCAAGTATAGGTCGCTCGCATAATGGTCAACTGTCAAAGTCAGGAGCCGAGCGAGATGCATATCGCACCACCAGCTACCAGCAACAACCACCGACCCACGCGTCTAACACATTAGCACACACAGACCGGGATGGAGGGGTACCTAGAGGTGGAGTAGGTGGAGGGGGAGGGGGGGGGGTGTATAGGCGTTGCTGCTGTTTTCATGTCGATCTTAACTTTATGACATATGAAAATTTGTTAACCGTTTCCATATGTTGGGTTCATTTCCAGTTGTCTACTTTTTAATACCCTGAACCCATTGAAAATGGATAAAGCGGGTATAACGTATTTGTGCAAATGTATGTAACAGGCAGAAGGAAGCATCTCCGATCCATAAAGCATATATATTCTCGATCTGCATCAACAGCCAAGTCGATCTAGCCATGTCCGTCTGTCTGTCCGTCCGTCCGTCTATCCGTCCGTATGTATGAACGCAGAGATCTCAGAATCTATAAGAGCTAGAGACTTGAAATTTTAGCTGTAGGTCCTCCTAGTCCATGCGCAGATCGAGTTTGTTTCCGATAATCGATAACTTGCCCCGTTTCCAAGTAATCGATAAAAATATCGGCCGGACGGCTGCGACAAATCTACAGATCAAGAATATATGGAGGCGCATTAGGTAATGCGGATATTTCTATGCCGGGAACTTGCCTCTAGAAATAAAGGTGAATATGATTGAATGAAAAGTGACAAAAATAGATTACAAAAGACTTTTAACTGAGATTCTTCAAACTTGACACGTAGCTTCTAGAATAGTATATATATCAAATATCTATAATTTTGATACCCATCGCCTGTTGGAAGAAGAGGGTTCAGGGTATCTCCTAGTCGGGAGCTCCCGACGAGAACCTCTTACTTGTTTTATATTATGTAGCCGAAATTCCATTTGACGTTGACAGTTTTCAATTAGGTTTTCCCATTTCCCATTTCCTAATGCATTTGTGGCATGCGGCAAGCCATTTTCTCTTGCAGCCCGGAAGTCGAACACTTGCCTCAATTTCAGCTTTCCCCTTAATCAGACAACAGTTTTTAATAGCTGGGCTATAAAATCAGTTAAAGCATTTTGCCCAACTAGATGCCTGAGCTAAAATTCCAGCTGCCTGCTAAATTTTCCTTGCCACATACTATACTAAGTGTATATATGTAATGGGAGACCTTGCTTAACTTCGGTACTTGTAGTCCGATCTTTATGCAATTTTCAGGGCTTGCTTGTGGCTTGCAAATGTGCGTGTAGACCAAGGCCCAAGGCTGTACCTTTAGTTTTGGGGGGAAATGAGAGAAATGTGAATATCAATACATAAAATAAAATGTTCTCAATCTATTTATACTATGTACTCTGTAGTACTTTCCTCCAGATATTCCATAAAAAAACCAAGTCTCAAAAAAGATATTGATTGTTCTCATGGGAATTTGAGGAGAAACTTAAACAAATGAATAGACTCCTTTTGCGAGAATATATATTTTATATTCGAAGTCCCCAGCTTTTGTTATGCTTGAGCTTGAGGCATTCTCACAAGACCAGATCGACTGCTCCTGCGAGCCCGGGAGGCGCTTCCTGCTGCCTCCTTACACACACATTTGCAACCGTTTTTGAATGGAATCTTGTCAGTTGTTGAAAATGGAATTGAGATGCATTTTGGCAGAGCTTGTAATGACGTTAAATACACAATAGATAAATCTATTGTGGATTGCCCTAGGTCCTGGAATGGACCGTGATTTATGTGCGACAACTCAATTCCGGGGCAAAGCTGACCAAAGCTGTTTACATCGAATTTGTGTCACAGAATCAATTGTCCACGACACGGACGGAGGGGTGGGGAGGGGCAATAAAAACAAGGGCAAGAACCGCCCTATTTTCTTCACAGCCCGAAAGGGTCAGCTGACCTCCCTACCCTCCCTTCCCTCTCTCCCTTCCTTTCTTCGTTCCTTGCTGGAATCAGCGGCGGGACAATCGCAGGCAGCGAATCTTCTGCTGCTGCTCCTCCTCCTCCTCCTCCTCCCGCTGCTTTACCTTTTCAGTCTTGCTCTTTCCTTGACATCCTGTGCGCATTGCATAATTTTCCGGTTCAGTGAACTGTCGCCGGGTACTGCTGCGCGCTCTGATCCTGACCCACGACAAGAGATTCCCCGCGACGTTGACATCCAACATAATGAAGAGGTCAGTTTCGCACGCCGCTATTTAGCCTGTTTGTTTTTGTTTATATACTGTTGTTTATTCCTGTTGCAGCTAAAGGATTAACAGAGCCCGCAACATGGGCGCGAACTTGCGGTCATTCCCCGCCAGCTGCTGCCGCGATCCTGCCGCGATCCTTCTCGCGTTTGTTACGCTTCATCATCATCATTTTTTTTTCTGTTTTGATCCATTGTCCTGTGCCCTTCATTGGGCCAGGCTGGCCACAACAATCATTTGTGCCCAGTCACATCCTGTCATCCTCCATCCGCATCCTGCATGATAAATGAACTGATTTTCCATTCAGCCCACAACATTCCCAGGCTGCTCAACAAAAAAAAAAAACGGGAGCAACACGTCAAATGTCAAGCATGGAAAATTGCCAAAAACGATCTCACCGTACTTTCTATTAACCAACCAAAAGGACCTCTGCCTGGAATGAGAGCCACAGTGAGTACAAAAAACAAATTTCCCCAAAGTTAGTCGAATGTTAAATATTATTATTACGATTAAACCATTATTTAATATTCAGGATCAGGATCTAGAGCTGGGCTCGTCTAGAAGCATAAAATTAAATATTTAATATTTATTCCCCTCTAACACAAAGGAACTTGGCATATTTGTACACCCAAAACGATTCTGAGATTTGATTTTTTGAGCACTTCTCGAAGATCAAACGAGCTAGATACACCAGAAATCGGTATGTATATAGAGTATAATATATCACAGACCAGAAAATATATCATTTTTGAATAATCTTATCAACCGCAGGCATTAAATTTTAAAGGATCTCAGTTAAAAGCTTATTCAATCATATTTACCTTTATTTCTTTTCCTTTTTTTTTTTTATAAATGTTTATTGCCCTCAGGCTTTATCGTGGACAAACGTCAAAGGCGGCGACAAGGAGATTATATATAGATATATAGAAGAGTAACATTTATTATAGATTAAATATATTTCATTTTATAATTACCTTCCCCTCAGCACATGAACACATTTAATTTCGAAGGATCTCAGTTAAAAGTCTTTTGTAATCTAGTTTTGTCACATTTCATTCAATCATATTCACCTTTATTTCCAGGGCCAAGTTCCCTGCATAGAAATATCCGCATTACCTAATGCGCCTCCATATATTCTTGATCTGTAGATTTGTCGCAGCCGTCCGGCCGATATTTTTATCGATTACTTGGAAACGGGGCAAGTTATCGATTATCGGAAACAAACTCGATCTGCGCATGGACTAGGAGGACCTACAGCTAAAATTTCAAGTCTCTAGCTCTTATAGGTTCTGAGATCTCTGCTTTCGTACATACGGACGGATAGACGGACGGACAGACGGACGGACATGGCTAGATCGACTCGGCTGATCGAGAATATATATGCTTTATGGGTCGGAGATGCTTCCTTCTGCCTGTTACATACATTTGCACAAATACATTATACCCTTTTTAACCATTTTCAATAGGTTCAGGGTTTAAAGAGCCATTGGTGAAAAGATTCTGTTCAAGGTTTGGCAACTGCCCTTTTGAGTGCCCGCTTCGAAACGGGGTCCAGTCAGTCAAACACAATTAAACCCAATTGTAAAGGGTCACAGGGGCTATTCCTAAAAAATGGGTAACCTTTTAATGTGGATGTGCATTCATGTGCATGTAAATAACTTACATGCAATAAAAATCAAGCTTCGTTACGGGACGGGGACGGGACATTCGAGCGGGGCAAAGGGCAACGCAGCCCGCGGGCAGCGGCTTCCTTCGGTTTGACGGACAACCTCAATGCGTTTTCTTAATTAATTTCCGCTGTTTTCTTTGGCAAAACAGCATCAGGAAGCTGCAAGAAGACCTTTCACCGGCCTGCCCGAACTTTAAATACCCTTTTCGGAACTAAGTAGTTCCCAATTGATATGGTCATTCGTTGAGCTGTACCAAATTTCATCAAGATGCCTTCACTGAGAGCTCAGTTCACATAGGTTGCTATATAATATTACGGACTGCTGTTCCAAAGATTTTGAAGAACTGTAAAAGAGAAAGGTAAATCATATTATTGCTGACTTTCGCTAAGATATCGAAAGTAACAAAGTTTTTGTAATAAAAAGACCAATTTCTCATCGATTGTTTCTATGAGAGCTATTTGATATATTGCTCCAATCCAGCCGAGCTCGACATATATACTATTTTGAGCTAAAAGAAGCATCTGTACCAAATTTCAGCAAGATGCCTTCACTGAGAGCTGAGTTCACACAGGCAGCTATATGATATAGCAGTCCGATATTGATAAAAAAAAACGTTGCTTAAAGCTTGTTGCTAGTAATTGCTGAACTCCGTTAAGTAATCTGGGCTTTTGCTCACAATAACTCAAGATCAAACAAATATACTGTACAGAAGCCGATTTTTCCGAATGGGATCCATGCGACATCTTATTCCAATTTTGAGTTATTCCAAGCTGAGTTCGAACAAGATATCTGGGTAAGCAAACAAGTTTTTTATATATAAACTCTATTGCTCTTTCTATAGACTACTATATATGATGAAAGTATTCCCAAGTTGTTAAGATTCTGCTCACATTTCGGGTTCCTACAAAAAACCTTTAAAATGTTAACTTAGCTCTAGATATCTTGGAAAAACAGACTAAATATTTCACCTATTTTCTCTTTCATCTAGATGATATAGTTGTTCGATCTGTCCGACTTCGAAATGCATATGCATATAGCGACTCGGCCGATAATAATCAGGAATATATATGCAAATATAACTTACGTTACACATTTGGTGAAAAAGTTGAAATGCCCATTTGTTAGGGCATCAAACGGGATCTAGCGGCGCCTTGATTAGCCTGCGCGCTGCCGCGGGTCAACGTAGACGTAAGTAGCTGCCAGCCCAAATGGGGTTGCGTCTGATCTAATCCAATTACCGATTGACCGCGCGTTGTTTTCGCTGCCTGCAGAGGACACGCCTGCCAAAAATGCCGCTGCCAGCGCTGCTGCTGCTGCTGCTGCTGTTGATGATGACGTCGCTGGCTGAGACGCTGCAGTCGACAGCTGTCCTTTGGGTGTTGTTTGTTGCCGAGATTTTTTCACTTCTCCCATTGTCTCGCCCGGCCGCCTGTCTGCGCTGTCTGCTTCTTCCAATTGCATCTTTAAATTCCTTGTTTTTTTTTGCAGCAGCAGCAGCATTTTTGGCATGTGCCGTTTGCCGTCTTTTGTCGCGCTCTGCAGCTGCTGTCGCTGCCGCTGTCGCTGCTGCCCTTGCGCATTGTTGCGCATTCACGTCAGTTTGTGTAAAATGTGCCAATTATGCTGCCTATTACCGTTAGAAATCGAAAACAAACGAGCGATAAGAAAAGCAGCAGAGAAACTAAAATCAATTACAGCTGTGCAGCGTCTCGCCCACACACACACATATACAGTGGGCGCGTGCGTGTGTGCTAAAGAGAGAGAGAGTGAGGGAGAGCGAGAGCGTGTGAATGACGCGCAAGCGCAGCGTTGCCAGCTTGCAAAAAAGTTTGCAATTGACAGAATTGACGCTGGCTGCCATTTTTCTTAAAAATGCAATTTCTTCGCGCTGTGAAAGCAATTAAAAACGCTTTATTCTTATATTATACAAATAAAAACGTGGACGTTCGGCAGATACCCTGTAGCTGTATGTATATACACAAAAATCAAACACAAACACACAGATAAGCACGCACGTCTCTCCTATCCTCAGTCCCATGCTATGGGAAACGTTTGCTAGCTTAACTCCTATTAAATTTGGAGCATACGCCCGTATACCCTATAACTAGGACTGTGTCTCAATAAGCGAAATATTCTCGAACTGTGTATAGTCTTTCGAGAGTCTGCATACCAAATTTGGTGTAATGTGCTTAAGTATCCCAATTGGAAACGCGATTAACAACATCAATATACCCCCAGGTGTCCATGGGTACAGGGTATACGGATGCGCTGCAGCTTTTAGGCAATGCATGTAAATATTTTTGATTAAACAATGCATAACGGGACACCCAAAATAGCGCTTAATTGGGTAAATCAAGTGAAGGGACCACACACACACACACACACACACACACACACACAAACACACACACAGTATTTTCTTATATTCAATTATTTGTTTTCATTTTCTGTAAGAAAAACTCCCTAATTACAAACAAGAAGCTTGTTAGGGAAAAAAGGGTTTCTAGTTTTTGGTTTCGATTTCGGGCCGCGGCCTGGGAAATGCCGGGGCAAATCCCCCCCCCCCCTTCCCCCCCCCTCCCCCGTTCACCCCTTGTAATAACGCCAGCGCATTGTCAATAAATATTTGAGCTAGAATTTTCACTTAAGCCCAACAGCAGCAGCAACAGCGCCCATTCAATGAAAATCCAAAAATGCTGCGCAACCCTTAGCGGAAAATTTGTTTAAACAACTGTGCAAATAGCCCCTTGTCGTAAGGGGGCGCAGCGGTAATCATTTATAGTTTTTTTTTTTCATTTTTTTCAAATTTATTTTTTTTCTTTTTGTAACTTTTTCGCCCAAAAAATTGACGCTAAGCCGGCAATCAAAATACAAACAGCGAACGGAATGAAATAGAAACAAAAAAAAAACAAGTAAGAGGTTCTAGTCGGGAGCTCCCGACTAGGGGATACCCTGAACCCTCTTCTTCCAACAGGCGATAGCTATAAAATGATAAGTACTTGATATATGTATATATACTATTCTAGAAGCTACATGTCGAGTTTGGCGACTCTAGCTCATATCGATTTTTGTCGATTACTTGGAAACGGGGCAAGTTATCGATTATCGGAAACAAACTCGATCTGCGCGGGAACTACGAGGACCTACAGCTAAAATTGCAAGTCTCTAGCTCTTATTGGTTCCGAGATCCTTGCGTTCATACATACGGACGGACATGGCTAGATCGACTCGGCTATTGATGCTGATCAAGAATGTATATACTTTATGGCTTCCTTCTGCCTGTCACATACATTTGCACGAATACAATATACCCTGTTTACCCATTTTGAATGGGTTCAGGGTATAAAAAGTGGGAAACTGTAATTTGTGCGGGGAAAAACTCAATGGGTTCGGCTTTTGTTGTTGTGCCCAATTGAGGCACCTGAATGGGTACACCACCCCCCGCTTGGCAACAAGCTGACTTTGTTAAATTGTGCATTTTGCAACACAGTTTTAATCCCCCTTCATTTTTTTTCTTCATTCTCTTTTCTCCTTTATTTTTGTTGTAGGTCCGATTAACCGTAACCGGTATTTGGTATTTCGCGCTTTGTTGCTCCAAATTGCATTTTCCGAATCGTTGCACAACATTGAAAACTTTCCGGTTGGGCCGCGCAATTGCACAGCACTGGAAACGAATGGACATGCTGTTCCCTAAAAGAACACAACCTAAATATATATCAAATAATAGAATAATGTGTAGATACAGATTAAAACTATTTCACTTTGCATCTTCATCAAATTACGTCAAAAAATGTGATTTAATAATTTAATAGTTTTGATCCTTACGAGTCCAAATTGGTATAAAATACCAAAATCTGACATTATTTGGCCCAGATATTCCAAAAAATCATCATCAAAGTTTCACGCCATGACTTTTGCCCAAGAAAAGAACATATTTATAAACCTTTTCAATTCCCGGTTCGAACTGGTTCAGCTCCGGCTCGACTTTTACCAAGTTGTCGTATATATTCGCATATTCTTATTTGCAAATTAAGAACTTCTTTCTTATCTAAAACATATGTAAGCAAAAGTGTAAAAGTTTTTTGGTTCCGGCTGAAGATTTTTCTATTGGATTCAGTTCATGCATCGAACCGGTTCAGTTCCAAGCCGATTTGACATCTAGTTTTCAGTTAAGCTGTCGCATATCTTCAAATTCTCAAGAACAAAAAGTAATTGTAAATTTAAAGTTTTTGTTTGAGCCAAATCAGTTTGTGAACCAAATTCATTCGATTCCAGCTCTTTAGCCGGTTCACGATTCGGTTCATGTTCAGTACAAAATACGAGATTCTGGTTCAAATCAATGTTCGACTCGATATCTTCTAGCAAGTCCCCAAATTGCACTTGAAAATTATAATTAAATAAATATTATTATTCAAATCAAATGGAGCAATAAAAGCGATTCGATTTGGCTTGAAATAAAGCCAAGTTCCGAGCTGGAACTGGTTCGGCTGTGGTGAAAATACGAGTTTCTGGTTCAAATCGATGTTCGACTTTTGAAAACGATATTGAAATAAATGTTATTAAGCAAATCAAATCGAGCAATAAAAGCAATTCGATTTGGCTTGAAATAGAGCCAAGTTCCGAGCTGGAACTGGTTCGGCTTTGGTGAAAATACGAGTTTCTGGTTCAAATCGATGTTCGACTTTTGAAAACGATATTGAAATAAATATTATTAAGCAAATCAAATCGAGCAATAAAAGCAATTCGATTTGGCTTGAAATAGAGCCAAGTTCCGAGCTGGAACTGGTTCGGCTTTGGTGAAAATACGAGTTTCTGGTTCAAATCGATGTTCGACTTTTGAGAACGATATTTAAATAAATACTATTATTCAAATTAAATCGAGCAATAAAAGTGATTCGATTTGGCTTGAAATAAGGCCAAGTTCCGAGGTGGAACTGGTTCGGCTTTGGTGAAAATACGAGTTTCTGGTTCAAATCGATGTTCGACTTTTAAAAACGATATTTAAATAAATACTATTATTCAAATCAAATCGAGCAATAAAAGCGATTCGATTTGGCTTGAATTAAAGCCAAGTTCCGAGCTGGAACTGGTTCGGCTGTGGTGAAAATACGAGTTTCTGGTTCAAAACGGTTCGACTTTTGAAAACGATATTGAAATAAATGTTATTAAGCAAATCAAATCGAGCAATAAAAGCAATTCGATTTGGCTTGAAATAGAGCCAAGTTCCGAGCTGGAACTGGTTCGGCTTTGGTGAAAATACGAGTTTCTGGTTCAAATCGATGTTCGACTTTTGAAAACGATATTGAAATAAATATTATTAAGCAAATCAAATCGAGCAATAAAAGCAATTCGATTTGGCTTGAAATAGAGCCAAGTTCCGAGCTGGAACTGGTTCGGCTTTGGTGAAAATACGAGTTTCTGGTTCAAATCGATGTTCGACTTTTGAAAACGATATTTAAATAAATACTATTATTCAAATTAAATCGAGCAATAAAAGTGATTCGATTTGGCTTGAAATAAGGCCAAGTTCCGAGGTGGAACTGGTTCGGCTTTGGTGAAAATACGAGTTTCTGGTTCAAATCGATGTTCGACTTTTAAAAACGATATTGAAATAAATATTATTAAGCAAATCAAATGGAGCAATAAAAGCAATTCGATTTGGCTTGAAATAGAGCCAAGTTCCGAGCTGGAACTGGTTCAGCTGTGGTGAAACCTTTTTGAATTGGAATAACTTTTGTGGGATCCCAGCAAGCAATTCGTTTGATTTAATGTCAACGATAAAATGTTGAAATTGGTTAAGTACTCCGTTTAAATTCTAGCATGTATATATAGATACAAACACGCACATCAAATTTCCAAACCAGATATATATATATTTTTTTGAACAAAATAGTAATAAAAACAAAAAAAAAACAAAAAAAAAAAATTGTACCGTACGTTGACTGAACCACAAATACATACACAACATATATATATATGTATATATATAGATATATATAGAAATCATGCAAAACTAGACGAGAGAGAACTAATCAAAATTCCCATTTTTATTCCACATGTGAAATAGTAACAACAACAACAACAACAACACGGAGTGCTAAAACGATGTCGCACAAGTTCAGCTCCAACGAAGAAGAAGAAGACGACAACGACGACGACGACGACGACGAAGACGACGTAGAAGCAGGAGGAGGAGCAGCGGGAGCGGGAGCGGGAGGAGGATTCTTGCCCAACTTCATCTGCTGCACGTCGACGTCCAGCTGCGTCTGCCTGAAGAAGTTGCCCCTGCTGGATGTTGCGGAGGATGTGGTCATGCTGCAGCTGGCACAGAATGGCAACAAGGTTGACTACGAGCCGAATGTTGCCGTTGCCGTTGCCGGAGTCTTGGTGGAGCAGCAGCAGCAGCAGCAGCTGCCGGAGCCGAGCTATAAATATGGCGCCTATCGCAGCAGATCGGCGAATCAGCTAACGCAGCGGCAGGATCAGGTGGTTGAGGGCGAGGCCAATGAGGCGGATGACGACGACGAGGAGGATGTGGACGATGACGACGACGACGACGACGAGGAGGATGCGGATGCGGATCCGGATGCGGATGATGATGATGATGATGACGATACCACGCCCACCACGCCCTATACGTACGCGAACGAAAGCCCGAGCGATTATCGACCCGGCGGCTATCATCCCGTAAATGTGGGCGACGCGTTCCATCAGCGTTATTTTGCGATCAGCAAACTGGGCTGGGGCCATTATTCGACCGTGTGGCTGTGCTACGATACGCAAAGGAATCGCTATTGCGCCGTCAAGCTGGTCAAGTCGGCGCTCCTGTATGCGGAATCGGCGCGGCACGAGATCCGGCTGTTGCGGCACATCGCCCAGCTGGGCTGGCATCCGTTGCGGGAGCGTCTCGTCAATCTGACGGACAATTTCAGCACCAGCGGCATCAATGGCACCCATCAATGCCTCGTCTTCGACGTGCTCGGCGACAATATGCTGATGCTGATCCAGCGCAGCGGCTATCAGGGCCTGCCGCTCTACAATGTCAAACAGATCGCCTATCAGGTGCTCCAGGGTCTGTATTTGCTGCACGATCAGGGCAATCTGATACACACGGATCTGAAGCCGGAGAATGTGCTGCTCGTGGCGGACGATGTGGCGCTGCGCAGCCAGGCGGTTGAGGCGTCCGGCAAGTATCTGCTGGAGCATGCCCAGCAGCAGCTGCTCCTAATCCGCAATAACGAGGAGGGCGAGGCGGAGGGAGAGGAGACGAAGCTGAGCAAGACGGCCAAGCGACGGCTGCGCACCAAGACCAAGCAGAGCGTCAGCTTCTTTCGGACGCATCGCAAGTGGCTAAGGGAGCGCGGCATTGCGGATCTACTGCAGCTGGCCCGGCACGGTCTGCTGACGTCCAAAATGGCCATCGATGCGGTTACCAATCAGCTGCCCTTCCTCGCCTACGACGGACCGACCATACTGAACGACGCCGAGCTCCAGCAGCTGCAGTCCGAACAATTCACGGAACAGGTCGGCGATACGGCGCAGCAGCCCCAACCCCAGCCCCAATCCCAGCCCCAGCCCCAGCCCCAATCCCAACCCCAACCGGAATCCCAACCCCTGGCGGGTAAGAAGCGCGGACGGGAACGTCGCCCGGAGACGGGCTCGAAGGCGATGAAGCTGCTCAACAGCAGCCCGGAGAAGTTTATGCGCTTTGTCCAGAAGTGCATCGAGCGGGACGAAAAGGAGGATAACGAACCCTTTCATTCCAGCAGCAAACGTATCAAAATCAAAAAGCCAGCCAAAAAACCGAGCAAGCTGCTCCAAGTGGAGCAATCGCAACAACAATCGATGACAGCGCAACCGAATCTAAATCTAATCAAAAGGACGGATCCCGCCTTGGAGCCGTGCAAACTGAAGGTGGCCATTGCCGATGTGGGCAATGCCTGTTTTATCGATCATCATGTCACCGAGGATATACAGACGCGCGAATATCGCGCCATTGAGGTTATATTGGGCGCCGGCTATGATACGTCAGCGGATCTGTGGAGCGCCGCCTGCCTATTCTGGGAGCTGGCCACCGGTGAATATCTGTTCGAGCCAAATAAATGGCGCGGCGATGCCACGCAGGATGAGGTCCATGTGGCGCACATTATCGAGACATGCGGTCCCATACCCAAGCACCTAATCGAACGTGGCGAATATTCGGCGGAAATCTTTGATGCCGATGGCCAGCTATTGAATATCAAAAATCTCGATATACATCCATTGAACCAGGTGCTAATGGAGCGCTATAATTGGTCGCCAAACGATGCCAAGGAATTCGCTGAATTTCTAATGCCAATGTTATGCACGGATCCGTTGCGTCGCGTCTCCGCCTATGCGGCCATCAATCATCCGTGGCTATTGCTGGATGAGGAGCCACGGGATAGCCACAATTCCAAATAGATGCGCGGGGAATGGGGGGGAGGGAGGGGGTCGGGGGTCGGGGGGGGCATATTCTTGCATTACATACATAAATCGAGGCGGACCGATCGGATTTGGGTGCTAACAAAACATATTATTAACATATATACTGGGTAAGGCTTATATATAGATACATATATATATATATGTATATATATATTTATATATATTTGTATATAGCGTAACGCAATGAAGTGAATGTGGACACGTGCAGCACGTAATGCTTTAATATGCCTATGCAAACCATATACATTTGTATCTATTTGCATATTTATGTCGTATACGTAAACAAGTCAAATATACAACTTGCAACATGTACAAATCATTATTCGTTTAGTTCAAATTCAAAATAAAAGCCCGCTTTACAAATGTAACGATCTATAACTATCGATATATTTCAAGGTGCATGGATGCGTCTATCGTTATAGCCTGCGATGGGCCGCACTGCAGATCAGTGTGACCATATCGCGTACTTTAAATACCAAATGCGCAGAAACTAGCTGCAAGAATGCATTAATATGATTACAGTTCAAATTCTTATCTAATTGTTTATCAAATATGATTTTGTTTATAGGAAAATAGTGACTGCTGTGTTGGACAGCACTATAGATCAGTGTGACCTCCTTGCATTTTGTTGTCCTCGCTATCCGTTCCTATTGTGAATGTTATTCAAGTGAGCAAACAAAATTAATACGTTATGCATTGATCGCGGCAGTTGTAAATTGCAGATGAAATTGCCAGTATAGGGCTAATTATGTATACCGATCGTCATTATCATAACGTGTGCTAGTAACACGTTAGAAAATTTACCTTTTGTCCACTTTTAAATAATAATTAGTGAAAGCGGCATTGATATTGGCCATTTGAAAAATTGGCAGTATTGCTGCAAGATTTCATAAATATTTTTACGTATGAAATGAACGGTCACATTGTGTGTAAAGCTGTGAACTTTGTATCGCTAAAAGAAACTGGCGCGAAATTGTAAGTGTAAATAAATATACGTTCAGAGTACAAAATGTGGGGTCAGTGAAAGCAACTTTATACGTGAACTATCCCAATTAATGTGATGTGTGTGCACGCGTGAGTTTGCTTCTGTGTGTGTGTGTGTGTGTGTGTGTATGTGTTTGCGTTACATAAAACTCGCATATTTTGATAACGCCTGATAAACAACAACAAAACATAAAGCAAATACGGAAACAATCGCCGACATACACACACACACGCACACATACACACACAGTCATTGTCATTCAAGGTTGCCGCTATATTTGACATTTAACAGAGTATAAACGCCTATGCGCCAAATTCGAAGGGGTAGACAGACGTGCGGCGGATCGTTAAGCTGTTGCGCTTATCAATTCCAGACAGATAGTTTTGTGCCAGTAGCTTTGTGAATTACGAACATTATGTATAGAATATTGCATATGTGTTAGTTTGTTTGAGATCTCGCACCTAAAAGTCGACTTTTGACAATTAATATGATATGGTCTCTCTGCAAAGACTGAGCTGAGTTTAGAGGCAAGTATGCTGTTAATAAATAATTCGCATAGTTGATAGATATTTGAAAAATATTCAGATATTTGTACTTCGGTATTATAAGCTACTAAATTTCGATTTGCTTTTGTTGTTTGTTTCTTTGTTTGTTTGTTTGTTTGTTTTTTCTTTCTCACAAAATTGTATTTGTAGGCTGCAGCTACAATTGGTTGCATAGGCAACACAAACGTCATCGTTGACAGCTCCACGCATTCTTGCCACCTGGTCACACCGCTCAATTGCATATTTAATGTCGTCTGTCGCATTGCTGTGCCAAAGTAATTGTTGTTTATTAAGCGCACTAAATACATGGCGCAAAGTTACGATTGCAGCAACAGCAGCAGCAGGAGCAATAACGCACAAACACTACAGCAGCAGCGTCTGCAGCATCAGGAGCATCAGGAGCAGATCTTCCGCCTGGCCACAGCGACAACTCTTTTGCGACAACAATATTGCGCGCGCTTATCAGACGTAAGTGTTTGCCCTGCATTCAAATCAACCAGTAAGCACCGACTACGCAATACTCTGTTTACATTGTAGCAACAGTTGTATAGTCTTTTGACTTGCACTTGCTTTCCAATATACCCGCTTACAGTTTGTAAAACGAATTAATTTGCAATTACTTAATTTGCAGTTCAAAGAACATGGACTCACCGCCGGATGTCTTTTGTGGCGTGACGGATCGTTTTCTGGGCGTTACGGTCGACTGCAAGGATCAGAAAATTGCTAACAAATCGCAATTCTGCGAAAAGCTAAACAGTAAATGATACAGAAACATACATATTTAATCAATTGCCTTATATTTTTATAATTATTGGTTTTTGTTTTTTTAGAATCTTTGGACTTTTGGCGTGCAAACAAGAATCGTACGATTTGGTTCCGCGTCTACAAGGATCAAGCCGAATGGGTGCCCATCTTGGCTGAGGCTGGCTTCGATTTTCATCATGCGCGCACAGGTGTGGTCACCATGTACCGTTGGCTGCCCACGCACGAGCCGAGCAATTTGCCCAGCTATGCGCACACGTTGCTCGGCGTCGGCGGTCTGGTGATCAACGATCAAAATGAGGTGCTGGTTGTTTCCGATAAACATGCGATAGCGAAGAACATGTGGAAGTTGCCCGGCGGCTATGTGGAGCCGCGTGAGAATCTCGTCGATTCGGCGGTACGTGAGGTGGTCGAGGAGACGGGCATACGGACAACATTCCGTTCAATGGTGTGCCTGCGACACTCGCATGGTGGCAATTTCGACTGTTCCGATATTTATGTTGTGATTGGCCTTAAACCGCTCAACCTGGACCTGAAGCGTTGCGAACGTGAAATCGCGCGCGTTTCCTGGATGCCAATGGAGGAGTATATGCGTAATCCGCAGGTGCTCGAGGCGAGTCGCCTGTTTGTGCGCACCTATCTGGACAATCAGAAACGCGGACTGGACTTTACGTGCGCCAACATGACGCATCAGGTGCTTAAGAAGGAGTATCAGTTGTATTACGTTGACCAGGCCAAGGAAGACAAGGAAGTGCCAAAAAATTAGTGCAATTGTGTAACTGTGTCTAGTTTTAATTTTGTACATACCCTCTACATAAATCTGTAGCTAAATTTTAGTCAAATGTATGCATTTTGAATTTTAATTTGCTTGCTGCTTTAAGATTAACGTCCCAAGGACAAATTAAATATCGATAAATTGTTATTTCATTTATCGATAACAGTGTTGCGCGTTGTCGTTAATATGCAATTTAAAATTTTTTCTTGGGCTTTTCCATTAGCTAACACTGGACGGGCCAGTCAAATTGCCAAACGGGCAAAGGGCAATGAATGCTTTTCATCTTATTTGTACAGGTCGTTAATTTATATTTAAAAAGAAGTTAACAACTATAAATTTATGGCCTTGTGTTGGCACTACAGGCCCGTTAGCTCCGAGAGTGGCCAAATGCGACAGACGACTCGACTACGTATCAGTCCAAGCGGTATGGGCCCATAGTAACGTGAATCAGAGCTATTGCCCTTATTATCGCCCTCGATCCAAACACAGCCATGCGGCACATAATCCGTAACCATAGATATTTCACTCGGCTGCTTTGACGCTGATTCCGCCTCAAGTGGGTGTGGCTTAAGTGTCGTTATCTTCTCACCAGACACGGCCACAATGCGTTTGCATATATACTGGCTGGCATTAACCGGCGAAACGGCAATAATAATATCACCGGATTGATATTTACGCCAATATTTGGATAGGCGTTCCGTCAGCAGCACATTATCTGAGAAGAGCGTTGGCTCCATGGAGGGTCCTTTGCACTGAAAGCATCGATTGTCGATAACAATGTACATACATATACATTTAATACATAAAATCAACGAAAACCGGCCACTTACCAAAACAAAGTCCCCCACATACTCAAAGGTGCAATGGGTTATACAAGCGTAGGCGATTGTGTAGCGTGCTAGGGTTCGCAATCGCGAGAGTACTGTGTAGCCCATTCCCATCTTCATGATGGCTGAGCTGCACTTGGGTCAGGCTTAGTCAATAGATAGGTGATTGCTGTGCCGCCGTTGTAGACATGTTAAAAATATATATATATGAATATATGTAATTCGCAATTAATAACAATAACAAATCAGCGTGAGTGGTGCTCGCTTTACCAGGGCTACACAGCACTGTGCGTCAGCTGTGCGTTGCTTAGCGGCTTTTCAATTAGGGCTGCAATACCGCTTGTTTTATTGTGGCTGCTTTGCATTGATGTGGCGCCAAATTCAAAAATAATTACTTGCAATTCGATACAAATGGATCAATTAACTGAACTCGAAATTTTGCACACAAAAACTATTTATTTCTCATGTTCACCACTGACAATCTATTAAATCTTGAATTTATAATTTTTTTGTATCTATTTTTCATATTCGTTTGTAAACTTTTTGACTAATATCGCCACGCGATTCGACTAATACGAAAATGCTGCGGCAGTCATACATATACCATAGTTTGCTCCATTTCCAGGTCACGCCTTGTATTATTCTTGGAAGGTACCAATTGTTTGCTACGACTTAATTATAACGTTAAATACATACAGAGTTAGTTGGTTAGATTATGAAAATTCACATAAAATGGATGACATCAATTCTAATTAAACCATTAACAACTTTTGCAGCATGCAAATTGCTTATATACATATACATATATATATGTATATATATGTTACACGTATGTGTATAAGCGTGACAAAATTCAAATTAATTCAATTAACATTAACTTAGGCAAATAAATATATACATAAATATAATTTTAATGCTTAAATCACCTGTTGACACAAGTGTCGCCCGCCCGAATCCAAATTAAATATATATTAAATAAAAAATACAAAATAAAGTCAACAAATAGCTATAGAGCGAACTAATAACTAAAATTTAACTATAATATAATTAGTTGTTTTTGTTTTAGTTATTTGGAATCAATTGTTTTGCTTCGTACTTTAGTTGTTTCATTTTTTTTCTTCTGTTTCTCCTGCATTTATGTTTTGTGTTTTTTCGATTACTCCAACTTTTTGCCGGCAACAACGGGCTCGGCCTTTTGGCGCTTCTCCTGGCGCTCGCGCACATCCACCGCAGCCAAATCAGCGCCAGCGACATAGGCATGCATAACAGAGATCAGGGCCTTTAGCACCGCAAAGGGCCCGCTAAGGAAGGCAAGTATTTTGAATAGCGAAACGCCGATTACTGCAAACAAAATCAAAGATTAAATGAAGACAATTTTTTGGAAATAATCTAGGCACTGCATACTCAAAGGTCCATAGGTGAAATGCAAGAGATACAGGCAAATATAGAAGAGCTCATTCACGCAGCACATAAAGGTCAGCACGTCCTTCTGGTAATAGATGCGCATCACAAAGTTATCATTCACCTTGTGCGAGACTCGTCCCACCACAACGCTCCTGAAAATTGGGTTAAGTATTCGGTTGAGAAATTGATTCAAATTAACTGGAAAACACTAACTACTCACGTTTGCATGTAGAGCCAATGGCAGGCGACATCAATGGCGATCGACAGCTGAAACCAGAACATGTAGCTGGGATAGAAATAGGCCAGGGTAACCAGCAATCCCGTGGTTCCGCACCGATCTGTCAGCTGGTCCAGCATTGCGCCGAAGCGTGTGCCTGAAAACAGGCGAAAGCAATTGAAGTGATAGTGAAATATTAAATTAAAAGTTGGCAAATGTTCAATCGAGTCAACATGAGGCCAGAAGCGTTTAATACCATACAACACATTAACTCGCGCTGACTTTCACACCATATGTTAAATGGTCTATGACGGCAAATTGTTGTGAAACTAATTGCAAATTTAAATATAATCAATTGGACCGTGCAAAGCCGCTTAATAGCTGCCAGTGTTTAGCGAGACAATATGGTAACATACGTTATAAATTTTGGACACGTACGTATATGTGGCCATCGTGTGCACACAGTGTACACAAACACATAAATAAGTACGTTTTCATAGATGGCCAGCATTAGCGGTACTTTTCGCCTGCCCATTTGCTGCCGGCATCGTGAGTCATGGCCGGCTGCTGGTCGATGATTTGCGCTTGGCAAACGCCGATGATGAATATGTGAAATGTGAAAATGTGAAAATGTGCGGAATTTGCAGACTCACTCTGATTGAAGGCCCTGGCGGCATGTCCATCGACGGCATCCAGTAGTGCACTGATTATATAACACCAACCGGCGATCACATAGTTCGTGGACATAAACCAAAACGCAATAATGGCCAAAACGATGCGTGCATAACCTGCAATTAGTCAAACAATAAAATACACGCAAATAAATTAACAAATGTAATTCCAATCGATAATGTGTGTGTGTACATAGATGGCGCTGTGGGTGACTATGCTTAGTGGATGTATGATGAGGGGTTGCAGAGGTGTTAGCGGCAGTATGTTTTGCATTTGACAGGTTGCAACGCCAGCGCCTCCAGCGACAGCTAATTGAATTAGGGAACTAGCATAACAACAACAACATTAATATGTATACACATTTGTTGTTGGCTGCCATACACACATTGCACCGTGGACGCGCAAGCGAATTGATTGGTGAAAAAACACAATGCAAAAGTTACACAAAAATACAGTTTTTTGTCTTATTAATTTTAGTTAAACAAAACACATTCATCATTTATACATTAGACATTTTCCAGCTTGTCATTTAACCAAACGTACGCAATTCGTATTCACATTCATATTTTGCTGGCTCTCACACGATTATTGACCACTATACTTGACGTCACATTTGTTTACTAAACGACAACTTACCAATCAGATTTGGCACAAAAATGAAAACGTTATCGTGCTCGGCAATGGCCATTTTAGATACCGCCTAATCAATTATATTGATAAAACACTTTGATATAGATATATTTAAGTATGTTTTAATTAAATGCGTTGCGGCGCGTGAGCGTGGCGTGCGCTGCAATATTTTTCTACGTTCTGTTCTACGATTTTGCAAAAATATGGCGCTGTATGCATGGGCTTAAACAGCTGTGCGGCATAGTGCTGGCTAACGTCCAACAACCATGGCGTAGCAATATGATCAGGTAACGCCATAGAAATTACCATTTTATGTTCACTGAGCGCTTTAACATCACTTACGCATATTTGCCATTGGCTGCACAAGCGAATGATATGAGAAAGTAGGCTTGTAAAATAATGGGCATTTTTCCTAAAAAGAATTTCAAACTCATTGAACTAAATGTCAAAACATTCTGACGTCACACGTGTCTAGAAATTTACCTGTGCTGAACGTTACCTTTGCATTACTTGTCAACATTTTTGGGCAAGCACTGTACAACACTTGAAAAGCTGTTACTATTTTTTGTTTTTTGACAAATTCATTTATAATAAGAGCAGAATATAATGTATAGCACTTGAAAAAAATAAAATAAAAATCATGGAAAAACTACGTAACAACAGCACTGCCAGCGGGCAGCCGGCGGAGCATCATCATCATCATCATCACCATCACCATCAACACCATCATCAACTCGAGCAATACCCGAAGAATCCCATTGAACAATATCTTCGCGCCTCAACAAAAATTAAAAAAATCGAACGTGTTGTTTTCTTCAAGTAAGTATTTAAATGCGGCATTTATTGTTTATACATTTTGATGAGGCCAAATGCATAATTCATATTTGACAGACGCTTTGCGCCCAATGTGGCGGATGTGCAGGCCGATTTCCAGCGTCTGGCCTACAGTTTTGAGGAATCGGGCATCATGCAATATGCGGCAATGTGTCACATTGGTTTCGCCAAATGCGAGTCATACGGCGGAACAGCGCAACGTGAGGCCGAGGCTTATGTGCGGGGTGCACGCGCCTTTCTTCTAGCACACAACGAATTTCGCCAGCTGCACTTGCGCAGCGGCCACAACGGCTTCCGTGAGGGCGCCCTGCATTGCTACAACAAGGCCGCTGAACGTGTCGCCGATAGCGGCGTCTTCAAGGCAGCCGTGCTGCGTGAACTGAAGCATCTGAAGCGTAAGCTGGAGCGCACCAGCAGCTTTGCCTCGCCCACACATCAAATCAACGATCTAGAAATAAGCGCCGAGATGAGCATGCAGCGCGAGGATTATCGCGGCGCCCTACTCCAATTAGATGATATTGTCGACAATATTTATGAGCGCCGCAAGCCACTAATGTACGGCGAACTGTTGCGTCGCGTGGAGGTGCTACGCCTGCTGTTGCTGGTGCATCTAAATTTGCCGCCTTCACGCCAATCGCCTGCACACATTAAATTAATTGAATACTATTATACACTGGCCCAGTACGAGCCGCCGCAATTGGGATCAGCTTGCCTAAGCCATACTAATGAGCCGGTCGAGAGGCCCGGCGCTTCTGTGCCAATCCAGCAACAATATGGCCTAGCCGAAATCATTTGCGCCTGGGTCGAGCGCAACATGTGCGATCTGAAGCATTTGCTACGTGATTTTGGTGCCGAGAATATCTCGATTAGCCAACAGGAGCGCCAGCTGCTCAAAACCATATATTCCGAATTATCAAAGATCTACTAGAGCAGCTCGATCCGGAGCTCTCTATTAACAAACAAATCAAAATAAAAAACAAAACAAAACAAAAAACTCTGTACAATTGTAGCATATTTTTAGCATACGGAATATCGCTTAAGTGTAAACAAGTCTACCAACTAACCTTTCAACGTGCCTACACGATGCAACTCACAAGCGAAATATACGCAGACGCATACGCATTTAAGCATATGTATAACTATAGAATTATAATTATTAATTATAACGTATGTATGAAGCTCTCAAGTACAATAAAAACGAAAAACTGGACACAATAAAACTTCCTTTCATAAATTTACCTTCCGATTATTTTCATTTAATCAGCTAAATAATTGTAAAGCAAATTTCTTTTTGTTTTAATTGTGAGCTTCGATCTTCAATAGTTAGATTTCTATAAAAAATAAACACATTCCCATTGCGTGGTCTTTTATTTTTTTTTTTTTTATTAGTTCCAATTGTTTATTTAATTGATTTTTTATTTAATATTTCGCATGTATTGTATATGTATATATGTATATTTTTTATTCAAACAATTTTTACGATACATATAAACCCTAAAATGTTCCGTTTCTTTTTTTGTTTTTGTTTTTTGTTTTTTCGGTATATGGTTCCTTGTTAATATTTTATTATATTATTCGCTTGAGCCTAAAAAAACGTATCGTTTGTTTTGTATATAAAAAAAACAAAAAACTTGCTGCATTTTAATTCTAGCACAACAAATATGTTCCAATTGTTTATAGCCTATAAAATCTGTTATTTCATCAGTTTTGTATTACATGTATATTGTATTTAAATATTTAGAATTTCTAAGCGGCTGCGGCTCTCAGCGGGTACGGGAAGGCGGGGGGCGGGGGCGTGGCCGGGCAGTAGCAGTAACATTTACTGGTCTTGCAATTTGTTATTTTATATATATATATATATATATATATTTACTAGATGTTTCTTGTATTTTTGTATAGTTATCGAGCGTAAAACAATTTGAAACCTAGCAAAGAGTTTTATTTTGAAAATAAAAATTATATTATTTATTTTAAAAATAATAATAAAATATATTAAAAAAAAAAAAAATTATATAGCCAAAGCCACGTTTGCAACATTTTGCACAGCTTGTTGTGCACAACAAGGTTGTCTTACTGTCTGTGTGTGTGTGTGTGTATTTGTGAACAATATATTGAAAGCGTGGCTTTAGCTCAAGATCACAAGCAGTTTTGTAGTTGTTGTTGTTGTTGTTGTTTTGTTGGTTGTTTTTTGACTCACATTTTATTTAATTTAAATCGACACAGAAAACGGAAAAAAATTCACCTATAAATTTGTGTGTTGTTTTTGTTGTGTGTTTGTGTTTATCTGTGTGTGTGTGTGTGTGTAGTTTATTGGTGTTGAACAGTTTACATGACTTGACTATAGCGTAGTGTAAACTCAAAACTAATTTCGCACATCGCACACACGCGTGCGTATGGAAGAAAGAGCGAGGCGCAGAACGAGCGAGCGAAAGAGTTAGAAAGAGGATCAACCTATGCCTGTATTGAGTGTGTGTGTGTGTGTGTGAGTGTGTGAGTGTGTGTGTGTGTGTGTGTGTGTGCGAGTGTGTTTGTGTGCAATCTACTTATTCGCCGCCTTGGCCTTCTTCTCATTCTCGGAGGTAATTTTATTCTTCAAGTGATCCTTGTAGTCCAAAATGCCGCCCTTCCATTTGGTCACCGTCTCCTTTTCGCACACCCAAATTTCCTCGGCCACCTGCAGAAGAAGGAATCAACAGTTTAAAATTTGATCTATGACTCGAGTTCGAACAGTGTGGGCGAAACTCGAGGGCATTCATTCAAACGAAGTTCGATCATGTTCGAGCTGTAACTGTAGCTCGAGCCGAAAAAAAGAGTCGAGTCTTTGATTGAGCGCTGTTTAACTAACCTGATTGATTAGACGGAAATCGTGACTAACTAACACCATGCCACCATCAAAATCGTTAATGGCATCCGCCAGTGCGTCAATGGTCTCCATGTCCAAGTGATTGGTCGGCTCGTCGAGCAAGAGAAGATGCGGCACCTGCCAGGCCAGCCAGGCGAATACAACGCGACAACGTTGACCATCCGATAGCTGACGTATGGGGCAAACCTGCTGTCGTCCAGTTAAACCATAACGTCCAATTATCTTACGCATCTCCTCCTTCTCCTTGACATCGGGAAAGGCGCGCATCATATACTCAAGCGGACTGGCATCCAGATCGAGCAGCTCGTGCAGATGCTGATGGTAGCGTGCAATACGCAAATGCGAATTTTTGCGTATCATGCCCGAGGTGGGCACCAGATCGCCATAGAGCAACTTCAATAAGGTCGATTTGCCAGCTCCGTTCGGCCCGACCAGAGCCAGACGTGTATCCAGATCAATGCCAAACTCTAGGTTCTTGTAGATCCAAGGCGTCTCGTCGTTATATCGGAAGTTGACGTTCTATATATCAGGCAAAGGAGGAGAGTTCAAGCATTATTTCGATGTGCCTTCGGAGCATTTGAGGTTGCAACAACTCACCTGCACCATAATCACGGGCGGTGGCACCTTGCCGCACGAGGGGAAATAGAAATTGAGGATCTTGTCATCGGTTACCTTCTCGGTAAGACCTTGGGCGACCATTTTGGCGAGAGTCTTCTCCTTGGACTGCGCCTGCCTGGCCAGCTTGGCGGAGCCGTGGCCAAAGCGTGCAATATAGTTCTTCATATGGGCTATCTGATCCTGCTCCCAATTGTATTGTTTCATTTGATTCTCCAGCAGCTCCATGCGTGTGCGCACAAAAGCCTCATAGTTGCCCGTATAGTACTTTAGTCGCTTGCCCGTCAAATGGATGATGTTTGTGCAGACGCCATTGAGGAAGTCCTGCGAGTGCGAGATGAGCACCAGAATGCGCTTATATGTCTTCAGCTCCTCCTCCAGCCACACGCAGGCATCCAGATCCAAATGGTTGGTCGGCTCGTCCAACAGCAGCAGATGCGGCTTCACAAACAGAGCGCGCGCCAAAGCGATTCGCATGCGCCAACCACCTAACAAAAGAGAAGCAACACGAATTAGCAAACGGAAACGAGCGAATGAGGTAATCTGCACCTGAAAAGTCCTTGGCCTGCTTCTGTTGCATGGCCTTGTCGAAGCCGAGACCGTGAAGAATTCGCGCCGCTTTGGCCTCGGCCTGATCGGCGGACATGTCATCGAGTCGCTCATAGATATCAATGAGCTGCTCCTGGGCGTCATCCTCATCGCTCATGGCCAGCTCCTCGGCAAGTTTCTCCAGCTTGATGCGCTCCTCATCCACCTCCATGACGCACTGCAGCGCACTCTTCGTGCTCGCCGGTATCTCGCGCGTCAAATGGAATATATCAATGTGCGGCGGTATGGGCACCTCCCGGCCGCCGAGCACCGCCAGCAGCGATGATTTACCGCAGCCGTTCAGACCGATCAAACCATAACGCCGACCGCAATTCAGCTCAAGCATTGTGTCCTGCAGCAGCTCGGAGCCAAAGAACGTTATCGAAAAGTTGGCAATTTTTACATCACGCGATCGCGGATGCACCGCCAGCGAACCGGTGCAGGAGCGTGCCTCCGCACTGATGCGCGCCTCCTCCTCCAGTTTGGCGCACAGTTTCTCCTCCTCGGTCATTTCACGGTCGAGTCCGTTGGCTGTGCCGTTTGATTTCTTTGTGGATGGTATCTGTTGGATCTTCTTGTTTCGCGCATCCTTTTTGCGTTGCGCATCCCGTTTCTTAGCGTCCGATGGCATTTTTGCTCCCCTTTTCCTTTTTTCTTTTTCTTCTACTCTTCTCTTCCTCTTGCTTCTATTCTCTGTTGGTTATGTTATACAACAATACTTTTGGGTATCCAAATCGAAATATGTATGCTTTTTGTTTTTGCCTAAAATGTAAATATGATATCTATATAGTTCCTGTATGTGCACGCCAGCGCCTGTATATATATATATATATATATATGTGAGTGTGTGTGTGTGTGTGTGAGTGCTGTAAATGACAAGAAATGAAAGAAAAAAAACAGTTAAAATAACATTTTTAGCAGAAAATACTAGATAATATACGTAAAATTAACATTAAAACTTGAGACTCTGAGTCAATATACGGGAGCTTTGCCTGCGCCCAATTTAGTTAACACTAATTTTCGCTTTCACCCATTTTTCGCACGTAAGAGTGGATTGGGGCGCTTTTCAAATAAGTTTGAAGCTGAGCAGGCATCAAAACTTATCCATTTTTTGACATGGGACTGAAACATCCACTGAAGTACATTTTCTATGTAGAGCTTTAAATTTGGTTTCATGCTAATCCGACGACAATTGAGATTTCAATCTCATTATATTCAAATACAGGTATTTGATAGAAAAAAAAAAAAAAAAACAGTTTAAAGCTGATGAGAGCATTAATTAATTCTCGACACAATCGGAAGAAAAATAAATACGTTACAAACTGCAGCTTTTCACCCAAATTCCGTGCTTTTCGGTCGTTTTTGAAAAACCCCTCCCCCCCTTAATAAGCAATCAGTCAGTAAGTTAGCATAGTTTTTAAATACATATAGACAAGATAAACTATTTGTTGATTAGAAAGATCTTTACGAAATTGGAATTTCGACACGCTTGATAACTTCGTGCTTTTAGAAAGCACACTTCGGCTCTTCACGGGGAAACACGAGTTGCAGCGAAAGCCGCATTGAGAAGAGGAAGCAGTATTAAAACTGCCGCCGACACTGCTGATCAGTGATCACCTATACAAGCGCAAATATTCGCATGTGCAACACTGTGTTCTATATCCAGTTTCAATAATATTGAAAAGAACATGTGAAGCGGGCAGCGGAAATTTACTGCGAAAGCAGACACTGTCTCGGCAGCAGATGGCGCCACATGCGTGTTAGAAGCAACTGTTTCAATAAAACGCCAAATCGGTGAGCAACGCGTTACTTTTCGCCTCTTTTTTTTTTTGAATACGTTTTAACAATTTGCGCCGCGTCGCCGACTGATGCCTTTTTCTCTTGTTGCTGAGCTACTTTTCACCTACATTAGCGCATTTTTTTATGAATCACTCTTGGTTGATGGGAGACGCCGCGCGTCCGCTCTATACAAATCGCACAAAGGAATTCCGCTGCAGCTGATAGACTGCAGTAGGTGGGAGCAGGAGTGCAGTTCGATACGGGGAAAGGGGTGAAATTGCAACACATAAACGCGTTAGACAACACACTTGCCCGACTGTTACAACACACACGCGCACTCACACATGCTCATAGACATTTATGTGCATATATATATATATATATATATATATATATGAATGTGTGTGCGCATTATTGAATTTTCCACGGCTGTTTAATATAGCACAACATCTCACCTTTAAATTTTGGATGATATAAAAAAACTAAACGTGTCACGCACAAGAATCGAAACCAATTTGCATTTGTTGAGCTGTTTTAACGCTGGTCCGGGCTTCTCGGGGGCTGCTGCTAGACGACGGGCTGCTGCTTTACAACGGAACAGGAACACACCGAACACACACACACCAACAGCAGCTGCAAAAATTGCTGCTACTTTTCGCCTTTTACCGTTTTGGTCGCCGCACACGTGTTACGTTGAAATAATCGCCAGCCGTCTATCGATATGTCTTGCTTTATATCGATGTATATTTTCATGAATGTTTTTAATAGAAATCTTAACTAAATTTAATTGAATACAAATAGAAAAAACCGTTTGATCAGTTAGAAACAATTGTAGGAAACGTTATACACATGTTTTTAGCACCAAAAAATAACGATAGTTAACAAATCGATATCTTCATGCTCATTTGCTTACATATATAAACATTTATTAATAACCAAATGAGTGTTTAAGTTATAAAAACCCTAAATGTTATGGTTATCGAAGAAGTAATTTTATTATTGTTCGTTTTTAGAAAAATTTAAAAATGTAGCAAAGAAGAGTGTTCTGCTTCCTTATCACTTGATATTCACAATGAAATTGCGCATTTAGCTATCGCAGGGGCTATCGGTTAGTTTCTAGCATTTTGCAACACTCAATTTATGAGTTCAAAATGGTGCGCATCGCTTAAGACGTACAATTGGCTTTTGTATACATTTATTGTTTGTGAGCTATTTCTTTTACGCAAGTGGGAAAAAAAAGTTTGATTATATTAACGTACTTTAAGGTGTGCTTATAAGTTAATTGAATTGCATTTGAAGCTGCAAAAAATGCTGGAAACCAAGAGCATCTCTGCTTTGGCATTCAACGAGACGCCGCGCAAACGCAAACGAGAAACTGGCTGCGCCCCGTTGCCGCCACCCTTAAAGAGCGAAGTGGCAGCTGCTGTTGCAGCTAGTGCGTCGTCATGCTTCACTAATGCTGCATTTAGCTCGACGCCAAAGAAACTTGTCGGGCGTCGTCGTCTGCTCAAAGAGAATGAGAACCTAAATCCGTTTATTAGTCAGCCTGGACTGGAAATCAAATCTATTGCGGATTTATCGGTCGTTCAGCAGCAGAAGGAACAACAACGACAGCAGCAGCAGCAGCTACCAGTCAATCCCTTTGAGGTTGTGCGTCAGCCATCCAAGAAAAAGAAGCGCGAGCACGCCTGCTTTGAGAATCCGGGTCTCAATCTCGAACTACCCGAGCGGCAGTTCAATCCCTACGAGGTAAGATTGATTCAATTCCTGTCTATATATGCCACATAACTGTCAACTTCCTGTTGCAGGTGGTACGTAGCGTTGCCACGCCCACCAAATGCTTTGTCAACGAGGCGCTCAATTTGCGCGGCAGCGATGCACCCGCCTCGCTGAATCCCTTCGAGATACATCGTCGCAGCGATATCTCGACTGCAGCTAGCAATCCGACGGGCGTTGCCAATCCCGCTCTGGCCGATGAGCCGCTGCCGACCAGCCTGAAAATCGGGCTACCATTTACGCCCACGCTGGGCTGCCGCATTGACTTCCATGGCATGTCGCTGTCGCAGCTGACGCCCAGCAAGCTGCTGGCCGAAAAGCTGGTCTTCTCGCCCGTGCAACCGCCGGCTAAACAGTCGCTGGGCGCCATCAGCGAGGAGAGCAGCAGCATGGATATTGGCAAGGAACTGGATCGTTATCAGCTGGAGCTGGAGAACAGCATTAACGAGGCCAAGCTGCGCAAAAATGGCGTTGTGCTGGAGACAACGCAGACGGAGTTGGAGGTGGTGCTGGAGCAGAAACAGTCGCTTGAGCTGGAACAACGCGTTGTGTGCACGCGCAGACACACGCTGACGGAGATCATGGAGGCGCCAGCGGAGTCAGTGCAGCTGGAGCTGCCGCCTCAGCTAACAATTGTCGAGCAGGAGCTGCCATGCCAGCCGGCAGCTGTCGAGCAGGAGCTGCCATCTCAGCCGGCAATTTTCGAGCAGGAGCCCAATTACGCAACTGTCGAGCAGGAGCTTGACAGCGGCGATGTGGCATATGCTTCCGAATCCGAACCGGAGGAGGAGAATGATGTTGAGCTGGACTTCAAAGCGCCCGCACGTTTCGTGCGCGCCTATCGCCCGGCTGCAACAGTTGCCGGCAGCAAGGAGTCGCTGCATTCGATAGCATCCAGCAAATCCGCCAAATCGGCGGAGCTGCGAGCCAGCAGCGCGGGCCATGGCGTCAGAAACATGATACGCAAATCCATACGCAAGCTAATGCATCCCATGCAGCATCAGCAGCAGCAGGACCAGCCGATCGAGTCCGCCATCTCAGCGGAGAAGCCAGCAACGCAGCCGCACAACAATATCATGAGCAGCATACGGCACAGCCTGCGCCGACGGCCGCACAAGCCGCAGCCCGTCGAGGAGTACAACCAAGCGGACATCTCAATTGTCGATAGCAGCGAGCGGACAATGAAGCTGCGCTCCAGCATACCGCAAACCGAATATATGCGCATCGAGCAGCTGACCAACGAGAAGAAGCACACGCTGCGCAACAGCATTCGCCGATCCACGCGCGACGTGCTGCGTCATGTGTTCCACAAGAGCCACGATGCCTATGCGACGGCCAAGTGAGAGGCAACAAAACCCAACAAGTTCTTTAGCACCCAAAGATTGTCTACAATGCAACCGAACCGAAGTTTGGCTGCTTATTTTTTTTCCTTTTCTTCTATTTTTTGATCTATTTTAAGCTTGAGGATTTTTTTTTTAAACATTTAGCTTTAGCTGGCAGCTACAGCTGATAGTTCTGTAGCGGTTTTTGGCTGTTTTCAGCATTGAATTTAGCTGCTTTTTGAATACCCCTATGAAAGAAATATTTATACAAAAAACTTTCCACATGTTGGCAGATATTATCTAGAGATACAAACCAAATTTTTTCAAATGTGCACATTTTTTTTTTGTTGGAATTGTGAATAACATTACATATTCTTGATTTAAAAGCAGAATGACTATATACTTTATATATATTAAGCACTATTTAAACACATTTTGATCAAATATCAAATCTGTTTATTTGACTTATGTAAGATTTGAAATGTAACAGATATTTGTTTGGAAAAGTGTGAGCCCGGCTTAGAAATAGATTTTATTTATTATCCGGCATTTACATTTGCTCAACATTCATTTTTTGTATATGTTAATTTAACCAAAATTCAATTCGGAAAAGTTTTCGAAAAGATCTTCTGTAAGGCAAACAATTATTTTGCCAGTTATCTGACTTGATTCTTGTTTATGAGCTCTCACCAATGTTGATACTCGTTTGTTTTTGTCAGTTAACGCAACTTTTATAAAAATCGAAATTTTAGTTTCGTTTTGCACATTTATTTATGTAAGTTTTTTATGTATATTGCACTTTTATACATTTGTTTTTTTTTTTACAATAATGTTATATATGCACAATTTAAAACGATTTTTTACTTAAATGCGGGCTAATTATTTTCCATATGCTTAACATAAATCGTTCTGATAGTTTTTGGTTAAAAAAAAAAATTGTAATTTTAATGTATTTCTATATTTAAAGTGAGGTTATGTACTGCAAAAGACGGCTCTATTCGGCACACCGAAAATATTCTTGTAAATATGCGGCATAGAAGTACTTTTATATATATATATTAGTCCGATCTGATATGGGTTTGTTATGAGTATAGTAAAACTTGTTATTTCTGGATTTGGTCAAGATATCTTAAACTTTTTGATAGATCTTTCCTATAGTTCCATGTGATATAGAAGTCATTTATTGATCGTTCCCATCGGCAAGATTGAGAACATATTTAAGAACTATAGTGAAACTTTGATCAATATATCTGAGAAAACAGAAAAGCTTTAGTTCTAAAAAAACTTATTCTGCCTATGGAGCTTTGGTTAAGATATCTCGAAAAACATACAACTTTCTGATACAAGCATTTAACTTTAGTTTCAATTATATACTGGTTCGTTTGGGAACCAACGAAAGCTTCCATTAAGATTCCTTCAAAGCTGAGGGACTATGAAACGGACGGACGGACTTTATCGACTCAGGTGTTGTTCAGGTCTATATAATTACTCTAAAAAGTCGTAGAAGTCTTCTATGCTTTACATATTTTTCTTATAAAATCTAGTATCCTCTGCAAGGCTACAAATAGGTTTCTTTTTAGCTTAAGGTCTTGGTCCTTGTCTGCGAGTTTAGAAGATTATTTTATGAATCAAAGTCCTTATAACAAGATAGCTCAACATAACCTAACTTAAGCAAGCCATTTTGTTTTTGTTTCTTTTCGTTTCTTTCTACAATTGGGCCTTGGTATTAGAATATAATCAAGAAGAGTCCTAAGAGCCTTATTATACCTAGGCCCTAAGATTCTTAAGTCTTTCTAGAAAAGCTCAAATTGTAAGTCAAGTCAAGATACCTCAACATAACCTAACTAATGGACGCCATTTTGCTGCTGTTTCTATCTACAATTGGGCCTTGGTATTAGAATATAATCAAGAAGAGTCCTAAGAGCCTTATTATACCTAGGTAGGCCCTAAGATTCTTAAGTCTTTCTAGAAAAGCTCAAATTGTAAGTCAAGTCAAGATACCTCAACATAACCTAACTAATGGACGCCATTTTGCTGCTGTTTCTTTCTACAATTGGGCCTTGGTATATGGTATTAGAATATAATAGACTCTTTACCTCTTTATAACTAGGCCCTAAGATTCTTAAATCTTTCTGGAAAAGCTCAAATTGTAAGTCTAATATACAAAGGGCTTGAGAATTGAAGTCTTTCTGATGAGATATCTCAACATAACCTAACTAATGGACGCCATTTTTTATTGTTAATTTCTACTTTAAGGCTTTGGTAAATGGAATTTGAAGATTCCCGCAAAAAAAAAAAAGGAGTGACAAACTGGGAGACGCTTAAAGAGAAATCCCCAAGCTCCTGAAGAGGAGCCGGATGGGAATTCGTGTGATGGGAAGCCCTGAGCTCTACTTGTAGACGGTCTGCAGGAGCGGACGCCGGCGCTGTTCGATCGGCTTGTAGGCGTGCTGATAGACGCTGGCCAGGCGCCAGTGCTCCGGATAGCCGCCCTGGCCGGCGCCGCCGCCTTGGCTGCGAAATGGCGGCACCAGCGTATCGATATCATAGTTCTTCTTAGCATATGGCTGGCGGGGGCGTGGCACGACCAGAACGCGACCAGCGACGCCGCCGCCGCCGCAACCAGTTGAGATGCCCACAAAATCGCCGCTGGCATTCAGCCGGGGCATGCCGGCACGAAAGGCCGCCTTGCTGGTCAGACAATGACCGTGACCATGACCATGACCATGACCGTGACCGTGACCGTGATCGGAGGAGGGGCAGCAGTTGGGCGCCGGCGCCACCTTGTGGCAGAGGCGTCGCGCCGGCCGGCGCAGCAGCTGATCCCGCTTGCAGCCGGTAGACGGGCCCGGATGACAGCCGGACGGCGATTCGTCGGTGTCCGGGCCGAGATACTTGTCGCGCAGCGCCTGATACGCCTTGTCGCCCAGCAGGGGCGTCGACTGATACTGCTTGGCCAGCCGATTGGCGGGCAGGCATCCTCCTCCTCCTCCTCCTCCACATCCTCCTCCTTCTCCTCCTCCACGCCGGCAATGCGAGGCGCTGGAATCGCGCGAAACGCTGCGCGCTCGGGCTGGCGGCGAATAGTCGCAGGCGCAGTTGTCCTCGCGCTCGATGGCGCGTCCCGCAAAGTCGGATTTGCGGCGCAGCAGATCCTTGTCGAAGAAATCCGGCTCACCCAAGGTGCTGGTAAAGACGCCCGCCGAGCGGCCCAGCTCCGCGCCGTTGCCGCCGGGCGCATTGTCGCGCGGCGTTTTCACGCACGTGAACACAGCCGGGCCGGCCGAGTCATTGGTGCCGTCTATGTGCCTGGCCAGACGCGGCTCATCCGCCGGATCGATGGGCTTAAAGTCCCAGCCAATGGCCAGATCCATGGCGCCCATCTTTTTGGCGGGCGCCGAGCCAATCCCCCGATAATTGTCACCGGCCAATGCCTTGGGCAGGACGCCGCCCGTCTTCGGCCGGAACACCTTCATCTTGGTGCAGTGCGTCGGCCCGGCATTGTGCGTCTTAACGCCCACGCCCGTCGCAATCGGATCAATGTCCAGAGCGAGTCCGCCATGGGCGCCGCCAATCTGTGCCCGGCGATACGCCAGATCCGCAACGCAATCGGGCAGCGGCTGGTGATCCAGATTGTCCTGGTGCATGCGCTTGGCCAGCTCGAAATTGGCATAGGCCGGCACCACCGGCGAGGGGCAGCGCTCGTTTGGCTTCGCTGTGATCGAGTGCAGCGGCATTTTTCCGGCTGTCTCCGCTTCCACCGGCGCCCGGACAATCGGCAGCGAGATCAGATCCTTGCCGGGCACAAAATCAAACTCGGATGCGCTGTGGCTATTGCTGCTGTTCAGCTGGCCCGTGTACTTGGCCTGTGCGGCGGCCAGCGCCGGAAATTGTCGACCCGCCGGCGTCGCCCGATATTTGTCCAGCGGCTGCGTCTCCTCCGGATCCGCCAAATACAGCCGGCTCAGTGGCAGCTGCCGTTGCAGTTCATGCTGCGGCGTTCGCTTCTTCTCGTCCAGCAGCTGCTGGTGCGTTGGCAATCGATATTCCGGCTCCGTGAAATCGCCCGGCGTATAGCTCAGATCCGGCAGCTTGTAATTCCCGCTACGGGCGATCGCTGTTTGCGACATGGTGCGAGATCCAGATTAGGGCTCAAGCAACTGTGGTTTTCTTTGTTGTGATTGAAGATGCTGTATGATCGATGATTGATGATTGATGATGGTGATTGGGTATGCATGTGGAAATATAGTTGGCATTTAGTGTGCTAAGTGCTCTGTGCAGTGCTTGAATATATATATAGAACTGATTGACGGTCTGATTGATTGACTGATTCACTTATTTGATTGATCGACTGACCGGCTGATTGACAGACTGACACGTTATCTGACTAATCGACTGATAATATATATAAAACTGATTGACGGTCTGATTGATTGACTGATTCACTTATTTGATTGATCGACTGACCGGCTGATTGACAGACTGACACGTTATCTGACTAATCGACTGATAGATTGATTGGTTGGCTAATAAAACGAATTGATTGATTGATTGACAGCCTGAATGAACTATTGACTAACTGAATGACTGAGGCTGAGTGATTGACTTACTGTCTGTCTGGCTGATTGACCGATTAATTAGCTGAATGATTGACTGTCCGTCTGATTGGTTTGCAGGCTGATTGACTGTCCGTCTGACTGGTTTGCAGGCTGACTGACTGACTGACTAACTGAATGAGTTGGTCTGAGTGATTGACTTATTGTTTGGCTGAGCTGTCGACTTACAGTCTGCCTGACTTATTGACTGATTAATTAGCTGATTGACTGTCCGTCTGATTGGTTTGCAGCCTGATTGATTGGCTGAATGGGAGGTAGATTGATTGACTGACTGAACGACTTGTAGGCTGACTTATTGTTTGACTGAGCGATTGACTTACTGTCTGTCTGACTGATTGACTGATTGGTCGACTGAACGACTGATTGGCTAACGGGTTGAACGATTGACTGTCTATCTGGCTGGCTTGCAGGCTGATTGGTTGACTGACTGACTTACAAGGTGGTTGGCTGTGGGGTTAGTTGGCTGGCTGATTGACTGACTAGCTGACTGAATGACTTCCCAAGTGCTTGATTGACTAACAGACAGTGTTGGGAAGCAGAAAACTGGGCAATATACAATGGAAGATCCGTTTAAGAATTGATAGACGATGGGAATAACATAACTATACAGCCAGGTTTTGGGTGTAATGGATTTATTGAAAGGTCTTTTGTCCGAAACCGTAAATCAATCAATTAAAGGGGATTACTTGGATTTTGGCTTTGATTTGGTTGGCGCTTTGGTGGTTGACTTGGCCGTCGACTTGGTTTGGCTTGAAGTAACGGTCGGGGCCTTGGCCGCATCCTTTGCGATCTGCTTCGCTTTCGTTTTATCGGAGGTCGGCTCCTCCTGTGTGACAGTGCCCCGACGATTGTACTCGAAGGCGGTGACCGGACGCTTGCGCAGCTTCTTTCGATACCGCGACGAGGCGTCACCGACGCGTGGTATCAGCTTCTCTTTCGGCTGCGGGTGGATGGATGCAGGTGATTGGGTTAAGTGATGCAGGTGCAGGTGCAGGTGCTAAACGATTGTTGGTGATTGATTGATTGATTGGAATTACTCACCAGCGGCTGGCACCTGATACGCTTGCACTTAAGATGCAGCTCGTTGATGGCCAGCATCTGCTTGAGGCCGTCACACTTGGTCTGGCAGTTGGGACGCTGCCAGACTGGATCGTCCTTGGTGCCCAAAGTCTCCCGTAAGTCACACGGATGCGGTCGCTCGCGCTGGCAGCAGCACAGATCGCGCGGATATTGCCAATACTTGTGCCTGCCGCTCAGGCAGCGATTGTACAAGCTGGCAAAGCTGCGCGTGATGCGCAACGGCAGGTGATATGTGCCCCGATATTGGCCCAAAAAGTTGCCCTCACTGCGACAAGATTATTATTATTCAATTGCAGCTGCTCCACAGCTGGGCTTAGACTTACCGGACTGCTGTGGGCAGCAGATGTCCGTTCTTCTCGGCAACGGGCTTCGAGTTGCCCTTCAGGCTGCGCGGACGTGGCGCAAAGAAGCGTGGATATTCCCAATTGCTGACGCTCTTCGCCCGAAAGCCGCGCTCGTACTGCAGAGTCGGAGACAGAGACAGATATATAGTGAGGGAGAGAGGGAGAGGGAGAGGGAGAGAGAGCTGTAGGTGGGCCAGTCAGCCACCTGTTTCAATTGCCCAACTAAAGCTGTTATTTATGGGCGCTAAGCAAACCAATTGATAAAAAGCCAAGCCCATTCAAAAAACGCAGGAGAACGAACCAACCCCGCGAGCCAACCCCCAATGCGACGATTACACGGCGTAATCGTAATCTCCGTGTTGCAACATGTGTAAAAAAGGCATTTTGCCTAATGCCACTTAATGCCTTGTTTGTGTTTGCCTTTTTAAACAGACGCCAAACAGAAACAACAAATATAATCACAGTTGATATGCGAGAAATACACGACTGCAATATACCTTAGATATATATTTTACTCTTATGGTATATTAATTAAAGCACACTATTGTCAAAAGAGTTGAAAGTTAAGTAAAAACTGATTTCACTTTGATTTTTAGCATATTTTTAAAAATTGTCCCTGCTCGGGCGCCAAAAGAAAAATATTGATCTTATGTCCCTGCTCGGGCGCCAAACATAATTTTGGTTTTTGGTGTACTCAATTATTATTAACTTTTCATAAACCAAGTAAAGTAGAAACATGAGGGAATCATAGTCTATTGAGAAAATTGGATTGGTCTCCGTTTGGGCGCTACACAACACTACGATTGCCTATTTCGGATCTAAGAAAACTTGGTACAGTTGTGTATTTTACTCGCTGGAATATACTGAAACTGGAAGAATCATATTTTATGAAGAGTATTATTATTGATGCAATAAGAATAAGAAGTGCTTGGCCAAGTATGTTATATACTTGCACAAATTGATTTCTTTATATCTGCAGAACGTATGCTACACTCGCCTGTCGATCCACCCCATTTAAGCCAGGCCCTAGGGTATCTGGAAGAAAAAAAACCGGAACTGGAACTGGCAATTGCTGGCAGACGTTAAGTCCTTGGCTCGCCTTCAAGCCAATGGATCAAAGTCATGTGGAATCATTTATCAGTGCAGCTTTTGGTGAACAGCTGTTGCTGCAGACGCCGTCCGGCAGCGAGCAAGTGCAGCAGCCGGTCCGGTCCGGTCCGGTCCGGTCCGGATGCCAAAGAAAGTTGCCTCTCAAGAGTTTCCCACGCGCCACGTCATTTCAAATTAAGGCGAGAGAACGAATGCAAATTGCGGCTGGTAATATAATACGGGCGTGCCACGCCCAAAACGCCCCTTAGACCAGGCCACAGCACGTGGCAGAGTTGTCAACACTTGATGGAGAGAGAGAGAGAGAGACTGGGAGGAATACCAGTGCTCGGGCTTGATTGAGTGCGTGCGAACCGGGCGCAGCACGTCGCAATCGACTTGGAAACTGTTTCGCTGCTCTATGCAGATGCCGGACCAGGGGAAACGGAGGGGGAGGAACCAGGGAGTGGGCTGTTGTTGTGAGGCGTTGCTATTGTAATTAAATTTGCACGGCAATTACACAACAGGAAGGGTGGGCTGCGTTGGAAATGCGTTGCGGCTCATCGATTCCGGGGGCTACTTGACCAAGCGTAAAATACAAATTGATTTTAAACTCAATTAGCAACAAAAGGCCGCAGAGGCGTCCAACTGTTTGGCACGACAAAAGGGCTGCCCAGACAGATAACAGGACAATTTCCGAACCAGCCACCCCCCTCCCCGTTAAGCCCGACAAACCCTTAGAACTGGCGATGATTTTTATGTCAACCCTCTGGGGTGCAATTTATCACATGCCAGGATTAGACAGTCAAAAAGCTACTGAGCTGCACGTGCAGCGACTGGTGCACCAGCTACCCCCCCTTCCCCCTTCACACTGCCCCTGTCCGTGCCCCTGCCCCAAAGCACTTACGAGGCGTGGCTGTTGTAGTTGAGAGATGGGCAACACACTTAAGCTAATTTCACGCACTGCTCAACCGAGTTTTCACTTTGCCATTTCCACTTTTCCGTTTTTCCAATCAATTTTGCCAAGAGAACAGCTCTCTCGGTCGAAAACAGCTGTCCACATGTAATTGCAATTGAAATGCCATTAAATGCAACCAGGGCAAAGGGCAGTGTTCCTCAACCACACAAAAAAAAAATATACATGCACAACACTGGCTTGACCGCTTGCAGTGCCCGCTTGGACTGTGCGCGAAACGTGAAATTCCGTTGGACAAGTTTCGCGTCTTGTTTATTGGTAAGCGCTAAGGATATGTAATCGCAAAATAACTTTATGCAAATGTTGTTGCATGGCAATCGGTTGGGCCGTAATAACGGTATTCGTTACCTACCGTTACCAAGTAAATAAAACTCGACTGTCGCTATTTGGCAAACTTGAGCTGTTTGGTGAGCGCGCGCAAGTGGGCGGGGGAATTGAATTTGTAACGGAAGCATAGGTGACAAGAACGGCAAATGGGGGAAATGGGAGAATATGCAAAAGCTGCGTATGTCTAACACACACACACACACACACACACACACACACGCACACGAGCACAGGCACAGCGCAGTTGACAGGCGACGAAGGCGTCGAAAACTGAAAGCTGTTAACTAATGCAATTGGAAATTTGTTAAATGCCAATTGAACGCATTTAACTAAAGGTATTTTAAAAGTCTCATAGAAGATATATAACTAAAATTGAAGTTAATTAAATTATCTTTGCTATTGCAGTTAAATAAGTTCTTCTATTACAAAGTTTTTCCCAAGGTTGCCAAATATTGAAATCTCCTGCATAACTGCAAGGGTATTACATTTTTGGCTTCCTTATTTACTCTTAGGTTATATAATACCTTAATCGGGCCAGTTATCAATGGGCCTCTTTCAATTGTTGACCTTTATTTGATGCGGTATGCGGTTATTTTTGTCGCCTGTCTTGCAGTGCCCTTTATTTGTAGAGCCTGGTACTCAGACAAGAGACAAGTTGGGGCCCTATTGGTATTTTAACGGTTCTTCGGTCTAAACATAGCCCAGATTGGGGCCACGCTAGGCCGGTTGCCATGTTTATATTACAATTGTTGGCCTTGTGAACGTTTACCAAACTCCCAAAAAGTGGGCTATATTGGTTTATAATTTTGTATCTGTTGTATATCCAAAAGTTTCAACTATTAACAAACATTAAGCAAAACATTTCATTACTGATTAGTTAAATAGCCCTCTAAAACAAGTGTGCAAACTAGTACAGGGTATAGACTAGTCGTGCAGATAAGCTATTCTACCTTTTTAGCTTCATTTTGATATGTTTTAACTATACTAAGTAAGTTTTCGATCAATCCCTTTGTATAAGCAGTAAGCTCCAGCAACATGTGACAACTGCGTTACAGGGTATATACCAGTTGTGCACACAAATAACTATATATTATATATATATAATGGCATCTTTGACAAGTGACAGCTGTTTTACAGGGTATTGACTAGTCGTTCACATAGATAGCTCTACTTGGGATACATTTGGCTCTTACGAAGCGATTTGCTGCTAATGCCCGTTCGATTCTAAGGAATTTCTACGACAAAAAGGCATCTTTGACAAGTGACAGCTGCTTTACAGGGTATTGACTAGGCGTGCACTTAGATGGCTTAGCTATTTGACAACAACTTGGAATACTTTTGAATCGTACCAAGCGATTTTCTGTTACCGCCCGCTCAAACAACAGCCAACACGGACGCGGGGGCGGGGGCGGAGGCGCGGACAACAGGCGCGATGGCGCCTTCAATTGGGTCGCCGCAGCGCTGCCAGACAGCAGCAAAAGTGCACAGGTGGCAACGCACAGGGCGGAGCGTTGCACACGACGCAGCATCCGTTTTGATTGCAATTGCAATTTGTGGAAGGCTCACCTGCATGGCGCTGAAATTGAACGACATTTTTACTAAGAATTTCGAATTTTGACAATGGATAACAAAAAATAAATTCTTCAATGGATCGATTTAAAACTATTTCAACGGAAAATAAAATTCATGTGTATTGAGAACTATTTCGAAGCACCTCACACACACACACACACGCACACACACAGAGACACGGACAGACAGGCACAGACACGCATACACAGACACAGGCAGGCAGACACGCACACACACACACAGACAGGCAGACAGACAAGCACACACATACACAGGCAGACAGCAAGCGCACACACACACACACACATAGACACACGTCACGGGCAACACCCACATTGATTCAAAATAATTTTGGCGTTACTTGGGGGCGTGGCTTGCAGTGCGCACAGCAGCCAAAGGAGAGAGAGCGAGAGAGAGAGAGAGAGAGAGAGAGAGAGAGACACACACAATAAGCTTACGCAGGGAGAGTGTGAGTGGCGGGATGCGGGGGGGAATTGGGGGCGTTTAGGGGCGGATGGGGCACGGCTTTGAGCCGCAGCTGGCTGCTTGTTTGCAGACAGCAAAGCAAATGAAAAACTTGGCAACGCCAGCTGAGACATTCAGGCCGCAAAATAACAAATAAAACTGCCAAATGTGCCAAGATGATTGACTAGAAAATACCCTGTAAAAGCAACACAAGTAATAAAAAGTAAGCATTAGACGTCAATTCAAAAGTGAAACCGGCCAAATTTGATTCTAGAAATTATAAATCACGAGAAATTGGAGAAAATTGTGAATGGCCGAACTGGGGATACCCTGTAGCAAGAGCTAAGGCTGTAAATCATATATGAAAGCCATTATATATAACAATTAGATATGCTTTTAGTTTTTTTATTTAAATATTTCTTTGTTTTTTCTCTTATATAGCGCTGAATATGTGTCTTCTTCTTTATTTGGCTCCATGCCGTAATTTATTCCAAATTATAGAGATTTTCAGCTAACATAGATAGTCATATTGGAAAGTTTAGATATATATATAATTATATAAATATATATTTATAGAAGATAAGTGAGACACTTTATACCAGGTTTTCTAGCTATAGATCGAATAATCTGGGAGATTTAGTCTATTCTAACAGAGGGAAACACTTTTGCTCACAAACACAATTTGATTACAGGGTATGACTTCGATGGGAATATTGAAAATTTTCGATAAATCTATATATACCAAATATTCTAGCTATAGATCGAATAATCTGGCAGATTGAGGCTTTTTTCAACTGAGGACATTTTGATTACAGGGTATTCAGCTGCTTCGTATACAGAAATAACTCAGAGATATGCTGTACAATATATACATAATTATATAAATATGCATTAATATTTATATAAATAATCGATTTATTCTTGGACTTGGATATAAACAAATATCACGAATTAGATGCTATTCAAAAAAAAATAATGTACATATTACCTAAGATCTAAAAGACTTTGCGACAGACTAGAATATACATATATATATATATATATATATATAGTTGAGAGTTATTTTTGTTTTCGTTTAGGAAGTGTTGAGAAACATGGCGCCTGGCAACTGGCTGCAGCTGGAGGCGTTGGCGGCGTCTCAGGGTGTCTCCAGGACATGATTCAGATACGCTATATAGCAGATGGCCAGCTTGAGGATCTCGATCTTCGACAGCTTCTTGTCCGGCGGCAGCGTGGGCAGCAGCTTGCGCAGCTCCGCAAAGGACACATTGAACGCCTCGACCCGGATCCTCTCACGTGTCGCGTGCGCCGTACGATATTTGAGCGTGGCGCGTCGCCGACGGCGGCGCTCCTCGCGCGACAGCCCGACCAGCTCGGAGGGATCCAGGTGGGCGATGGGCGTGGTGCGACGACGTGGCGCCGGCGTCGGCGGCGGCGGCGGCGCCGGCTGTGCGGCCGTCTCGCAGGCGATACGCGCCTGATACCGCTGATCCATGTCCAGCGTGGTGCTCGCCGCATAATCCTCGCCAGCGGCATGGCCATGCCCGTGTCCATGTCCGTTCGATAGCGCATTGTTGGCGGCCGCCGCCGCCGCCAGTTCGTCATCCTGATCCATATAGTAGCGGCTCAGTGAGATGCTTTGCGGCGGCCCCGGTGCCAGATGTGTCATGTCGTAGACCATATTGAGCTGCTCCTGCTCCGCCTAAGCTGGCCACTGTTCAGGATTAGACAAAGATTCACTCTGGTTAGCAAGTCTCAAGCAGTTTCAAGTGGTTCGCTTCCACAAAAGTTCATCCCAAAAGGTTTTGTTTCTGGATTATCTTTCTTTCTATCATTCTTTTCCCCTTTCCATCCATCCATCCTTTATATTTTTTCAATTTCGGGAAAGATATCCAAAAATTTACGTATTCTCAATCTTTTCTTAATGTACCGACCCCATAAAGTATGTATATATATTCTTGATCAGCATCAACAGCCGACTCGATCTAGTTATGTCCGTCCGTCCGTCTGTATTAACTCAAGGATCTCAGAGCCTATAAGAGCTAGAGACTTGAAATTTTAGCTGTAGGTTCTCCTAGTCCCCGCGCAGCTCGAGTTTGTTTCCGATATTCGATAAGTTGCCCCGTTTCCAAGTAATCGATAAAAATCGATATCGAAATCCTCTTTTTTGAGTAATTTTGGTAAATAATATGAGCTAGAGTTACCAAACTTGACACGTAGCTTCTAGAATAGTATATATATATCAAGTATCTTTGATTTTATACCTATCGCCTGTCGGAATAAGAGGGCTCAGGTTACTTGTTTTAATATGGCTGGATGGGAGGACTAAATCAAATAGCTGGAAAATTACATTATTTTATAGCAAATTATCGAATATCGGAAACAACCTCCATCTGTGTGGGCACTAGGAGGACCTATAGCTAAAACTTCAAGTCTCTAGCTCTTATAGATTCTGAGATCTCGGCGTTCATACATACGGACAGACGGACGGACGGACAAAAGGACATGGCTAGATCGACTCGGCTGTTGATGTTGATCAAGAATATATACCCATTTCTAATGGGTTCAGGGTATAGAAAGCTTCGAAAAATGCTTCAAGATAGCCTTAAGATGATATTGGGTTCTTTGCCTCGTCAAGATAGCTTTAAGATTTGTAAGAAACAAAGTTGGCAGAGATATACTGCTCCGATTCAGCCAGAAAAATAGACCAATGCGATATCCTGTTGCTACGTTTCATCAACATAGCTTTAAGATTAGGAAGAGACTAGTTGGAACAGATATAGTGCGCCGATCCGCCCGGTTTTCAGGTTTCTTTACCTTGTCAAGATATCTTCAAGATTCGTAAGAGCCAGGTTTGCACAGATATAGTGCTCCGATTTACCCAGAAATACGGATCTAACTATATCCTGTTTCTACGTTTCATCAAGGTAGCTTTAGGATTAGGACGAGCCTAGTTTCCACTGCTGGGCATAACGTGGGCTGTTTATACTGAACCATTAGTTATATATCTTTGTGACAAAATTATGAATTATTATATATATCTATATATTCTTTTATTTATCCTATTTATCCTGACAGTCTAGTGCTAAGTCTCAAGTCCGAAGTTGTGCACCTGCCACGCCCACAAGGCAACGCAAATCTAGTAAATTATGTATTTATGGTTGTCCACAAAAGGGGTGAGCACCCCTTGCGAACCCTTTTTGTTTGCCTAAACCCCCCTCCCCCCCTCACCCTCCCTCCCTTCCGCCCGAGGGTCACGTGTCCCGTTTGGATTTTCATTTAGTTTTTATTGTGCTTAACGCATTTGTTGCTATTGTTCTTGTTTGGGTTTTATTCGCAACATATTTTCACACCTACACAAATAGCTGAACAATCGTCACGTTTGGTATTTATTTTGGCCCGCGGGAGTTGACAAATTCGAACCCTTATCTGATTTTGCGGTTTAATGGGCTTTGCTTCACTCAAAACTCGCACAAATTGCACAAAATCAAAGGGCTGTGCGTTATAAAAGTGGGTTGGAAATTTTGACATAATTATTGCAATTCTCCAGAGATAATATACACGCACATTTTGAAAAAAAATAGAAAAAAAACAAAAAACAAATGTATCACAAATTCCTTATTTGGGTTAGTTTACTTACAAGAATCGCAATCACACGATTTACTTGAGATTTCGAATTATGAAGTCCTGCACGCAGAAAGCTTTGCCGCCGAACTGAGTTAATGCAAGGATGTTGCAGCATCATTTATAGCGCGGCGATTCAAAGATTTTAGCAACCCCCGAGCCGTGTGCACGAGAGCAGCCAATGGCAGCACAGCATGCCGACAGAGCCAAGGGCCAATCAGGATAACAAAATGGCGTCGATTATGCTAATAGTATAGGTAGCTACCGCCCCTAAGAGAAGGATGCCAAACAATCTACATATGAGTATGTGTACATTTTTAGCATCAACGAAAATTCTATTAATGCATCTACAAGTGAGTCATAACGAAACGCAACTACGAATAAAAAAAAATACCAAACGAAAGGATTAATTTCATATAAAGTAATAATTTCTATTCAATTAGAGGCTCAAGCTTATGGAACAATTTTGATAGTAGTTGAACTTTTTAAATAACTGTTGGTTGTGGCAACGAATCCAGTTTGCGCCTTTTACAATACTACAATAATAAGTAATTTTATTATCGATAGTCTGCACTATCGACTGCAGTTGCGTGAATGAAGAAACAGAACAGCTTTCTAGAAGTGGACGTGTTGCAAAGAAATACCAAAGTCGTGCGTAGAATCAATTTCAATTTAACTAAAGAGTCTTGCTCATGGAACGATTTTGTTCAAAGTTTAAAGTTGTAATAACCGTTGATGTTGTGTCTTGTACAATACCTTTACCAGTAATTTGACTATCGATAGAGCGCATAATCGATTGCATTTGTGTGAATGGCAAAACGATGTTGCAGCCCTGGAAGGCTTTCATAACCAACCCAGCTGCTAATTTCGTTGTCTCATTTATTTTATTGTTAATATTTGTGAAATAAAATGAACTCCCTTAGGCTATTGACGCCGCTGCAGCTAAACCTGACACTGGTGCGCAGCTATGGCAAACACAATAAGAAGTTCCTGTACAAAGATGGCAAGAAATATGAGAGTATTATTTACTATCCCAGGTGAGTGCAAGCCCGGCATATTACGATTTTCCAAAAGTAAAAGACAAAGCTTGCAGAACGCCCGACCATCAGGATCCGCCAGTGGAGCCGGCCAAGCTGTTTCGCGTGCAGCGCATAAAGCCCGTTAAAGGTAATCCGTTCTGGGAGAAGCGCATACTCAAAGATCTGGGCCTGGATGGCAAGCAAAGCGATTTTACCGTGGTGAAGAACATACCCGAAAACAATGCCCGCCTATGGAAAATAAAGCATCTGATTAAAGTGACACCAATAACATTTCCATATGGCGAGCCAACGGCACAGGATATTAAGCACACGATACTCAAGGAGAATGGCGAGTGCCTGGTGACCAAGGACATTGGACCTGTAGAGGTGCGCGATGCTGCACGGGATGCCTTTGACCAGCTGCCTAAGCGCCTGGATACGGAACTGCTGCGAAAAGATTCACGACTCAAATGGCTGAATCCCTGGTAAAAACTAAGATTCATTCAGTTTTAATGTAAAATAGAAATGTTCATCTATATATATATATATACACAATTAAACAAATTAAAAGTATATAAGGCCAAATTACAGCTTATCACTGATGACTGCGGCAGATTAAGGTACTCTCAGCTCATTGACGACCATTGCGACTTTTTTCTCGATCGTCTTGCAACCAGATGTGGCAAACATGCTATACTTGGGATCATAGTTAACAGCACTATTAACAACAGTATTGATATCTTGTTGTTTTGGACGCATGTGCCAGCGCTGGAACTCGGCCTCCACACACTGGACAATATGTGCCTTTTCAAGCGCCAAAAATGGTATATAATGATCGATGACGTGTGCCTCAATCATGTTGGTCTTTTTAAGACCGCCCTCCATATTGTAGGCAGACATTTTCAACATCTCCTCAAAGTCTGAGAGTCGTGTATCTTCACGCTGTGTACCCTTTTTCATAAGCTCGGCCAAATGATCCGAGATGCGCACACCTGCCGTATTGGATAGAAATATAAATATGGCTTTGGTATAGTCGGTGCCCTTCACATTGGCCGCATAGTCCACCAGCGAGGTGAGCGTATCAAAGACACCAATTGGCATCTTGTCCACCTCATCGAATATGAACAGGGAGCGTGGACAATCCTGTATAAATTCACGCACCTCGCGATTAATGCGCTCCTTATACTCATTGATACGGCCGGGATGCGCAAAATCGGCGCGACCCAAATACTTGTGCACAAATTTACTTTTGGCCCCTTCCACGTAAAGCGCTTGCGCTATTTGATCAGCAACAAAGCTCTTGCCGGTGCCCGGCGTTCCGTGAAAGCTCATGACGAGCGGCTTGCGGGATGGACTATCCGATTTGAGATGCGCAACAAGCGCGGGCATAACGTGTTGCTGCACCATATGCTGCCCAAAGAGTGTTTGGGACAGTGACTCGTATAGCTCTGTAACGTGAATGGTTTACAGGTGTTCAACACAGGTGATAAGCTAACTTACTTGTCATGTTACCCGGAATGCTACGGTCGTCGCAACACTCATAGAGCCGACAATAGGTTTGACTTTTGAAATAGCCAAAACCTATGGCGCCCACGCCGGCAGCAATGCCGATCGATATAGGCTCTATGCAGTTGACTATACTAATGCTATTTATCACAAAAATAAGCAATAAACATCGTAACTTAATAATTTTAAATGCATTTATAAACGGCATTTTACACTTTGTCCTATTGTCTCAATCCGCCAGTCGGAGCATTGCTAAAAGTATCGATATTTCGACTAGTGCAATTTACTAAAAATTATCGATACTCGAAGCTTTCGCTGCGCAACTATTGTTACAAATGCACTATTTTTAAGCTACATTTGGCTATTTTTATAGGTCGTCAGCTGGTAACATCCGATGGCATCTCAATTACTAGCACTAGCAAACTAGTTTATTTCCAGTTTGTGCTTAAGAAACCAATTTAGCTATTTTTAAGACTGGATTCAGTTACTTTTTTAAAGCGACAGTTGGTAACACCGAGCGCAAGCTTTTTAAAATTCGATAATAGTTTGTGGCTTCAAAGCCGACTCAACCGGCATGCT